ATATATAATCCTATACCAATACAATATATATATATGTATATATATATATATATACACACACACACACAGATACACACACACACATATATATATATATATATATATATATATACCTGCAGGATTTGTATGTGTTTGTCACCTCGATGTTGTTTGTTATCGACTCAGTCTCGATTCTGTGACAATTCCGGCGGGCGCCAGGTGCGCGTTTTCTGCCATTGCAATTTCCGCTGGTCAATGGACAACACGATCGTCACTTGAACGGATGTTTGACTGTGGCGGTGGTAAGCGTACTTCGTTTTGTTTCACGGTGCTGTTGCGAAGCTTGTCGGACGTCTGGCCCCAACAGGACGAACCTAGCCAGAGCAGGCCGCTGAGCGAAGAGGGATACTGGTGTCGTTATCAAGCAGTGTTTACCAAAGACCATGGCCACGCTGATCAAGTGAAGTTTACGGTCGGAAAGCGTCTTTCGTTATAATCGCGAGCAGCGGCCGATCGGCCAGTAGTCATGAATAACCAGCTGGTTACTTGATGCATCAGGTCTTCGTTCGTCTCTGATGGCCTAACACTGACTGAGTGCCTGACGGCGAAAGACCGAGTACTCCTTTAAGGGGCAACAGCCTCTAAGTAGAGCCTGCGCTAACTTAGTTATACTTAAACATACATAAACGCAGTATACTGCGTCGCAATTAGTGCAACTAGAGCCGGATTAAGCGTACTGGTCGCAAGTGGATAGCAGAATGAATCGATGAAAGCGGATATTGTTTACATGGGATGCGCATAGGCTGGGCAAGCCACAATGGACTTTTTTTTTTTCGTTTTTCATCTCTTAACACTCAATATCTAATGGCCACCCCTGACTTATCGGGATGCAGGTGTACAATTTGTGCGTATGAGAGATGGTTAAATCGCTGATAGACCAGTAGGCCAATGACGGTAGAGTTGCTGTGGCTACCGTTGAATTTCCCTCTCGGCTCTATTGCGAAGTAAGGTCCATACTACAGCTATTGTTGATCGGACAGCAGCAGAAAACAGCACCATCAGCACGGTAAAGCCCATTCCGACTGATCAGTAGTTGTCATCGTAGTAACAATCGCGGACTGAAGGATCACGCTTATTATATAAGTAATTTAGTCCTCTTTAGGCAGGTGTTCGAGTGTCAAGAACGTCAACTGATGTCAGCAGCCAAATGAACAAAGACTTTGATTCCATTACTAATGTTGTGCGCACAGATCAGCGTGCTGTGCCTGTCGTCATGTCCTACCATTTAGAAGGGCCTTTCTAATGGGCTCAGCTGTCGTCAGAGTTAAGTTTTGTTCGTTAGTGCAGGCGACGTACAAAATATTGTGCTTTTCGTGGTATTTCAAATGTCATTCTCCATGTCAGTGTTGTATAGTTATAACAATAGTCTACAATTTATCACTTTCTGTTCGCACGTTCGCATACATTTAACCTATTCGCTAAGTATCAATCAGACAATCAGCAGGATGGAAAACAAACAACCATTGTGTGTATGTGTCCATATATGCAGTGCCAACCAGTGTCTGCATACATTTCAGCGGGCGGCTTCACATGTTTATTGTATGTACGCAGATCTCATCATGTGTATAAGTAGAAGTACACATGGAAAACGTAGAAATGTTGTGTCGAGAAGACATACGGATCGTCATGCAAACGCTGGCATGTTTATTAAAAACAATATATAGTAGCTGGTGGAGTGGAAAGACACTGACGAAGTTACTGTTTTCACCTTTAATGTAACAACCTCGCTCAATGCATAGAAGTTTGTTTCAGTCAGCTTCTTCCACTCAGATCCGACAAATATCGTAAAGGGGGTGCTGAGATATTATCTATCTCAGCACCCCCTTAGTTACAGGTTACACAGTGGCACCTTCTGAAAATCAATGAGCAATAATTACGTAACAAGGGACGAAACATAGAAATCTAAAGAGGCTAGAGAATTATTTTGGATTTATTAGATAAATGCGTGAAGGTTGGTGTTGGGCCTCTTTCGCAGGTTCGTCTGCCTGTCTGTCTCGGTTGCAGTGCTTTGGAGAACTTTAGGATCCTGGGGAACAATGTCTGAGTGAGTGACGGTGATCTCGTGCTGGCAAAGTGGGATCTTGCTAAAGGCGGCCCCAAAACATCGACTTCGAGATTCATCTTAATGGTCAAACCAGATAGGATTAAAAAGATGACTTCGAGGGGCGTCTCCATCGACTGGTTTATTGTAAAACTTCTAAAGTGCTCGATTCTTCAGATATCGAACAGCAATCTTACAATCGATCGTTTCGCAGTTTCTCGATGTTGGTGGTAGTTCTAATTGCCTGTGTATGAAACTAGGCGAGCTAGGCCAATTATAGCCTAGTATAATTAGCAGCTGACACCTATTCAAGCAGAGATGCATTCGCGTATGCCTATTAAGTCTTTATGAGTATTCAGCTGCTCATGTTGTACCACCATTATATAGCTGTGCTTTGCTTTCCCTTCTATTGCTAAATTAGCTGCTTGACGTGGCCTGACACGGTTATTCATAATGCAGTACATACAGCACTTTCTTTGACAATACGTTTCCGGTGCATAACTGACCCCTGTAACATAAACACCTGTCGCCGCTATTTCCCTCTGATGGAGGCTTCCGTTGGTGTCTAGGCATTTTCGATCAACAAAACGATCATATGTTATACATTTCATAATTGTTTATAGCCTTTCTATACAGACTCACTCAGTGTTTTAGATGTACTCATAGACTCGTGGTCATGGTTTGTGTGGATAAGTATATCCTGGTCGTATAGTTCTGCTTGAGCCATGACTTCTTTTAGATCTTTGTGTTCAGTAGTATACTGGATTGTTTATGATTATACGTTGATTTTTGCAGTATGCTTTCATTTTTGACTGGGTCCTCCATTCGTGAGACCATGCTCGCCTGCGCTCTCGGAATTTCCAAGGAATAGCTGAAAATGCGCACGATTGTTTTCACTGCCATCAAAACATACAGTGAAACGGGCTCGAAAGATGGAGTTGTTTTAAATATTCACAACAACAACAACAACACCAAGGTTAATAACATGTCGCTTTACCATGGTGCAATCCTGTTGGATAACTGTAAAAGTGTTTTAGCAGGGAGTAGTGGCAGGCCACACGAAGACAATCAAATCCACTATCGTCATTAATCATCAATCAACCAAGGATGACAAAGGCAGGAGCGGTATCTGAGATCATCCTTAGTGTCCTATTCGTATTATAGAGATAAGCTTCGTATCATCTTCTCTAAACATGCTTGTCGCTTTTCTTAGCCATAGCTTAAACTGTTATTATTGTTGTGATGATCTATTAGGCCGCTATAAAATTCTCTGGGTTGATCCTTTGCAATAGGAGTCGTCAATTGTGCTATATCAAATATATATGTTGACTAAACGTGTCAATCTAGGGTAATTTTTTTTACAAATTTTACTATGTCAATAGAATTTTCAAGCTTTCGCCCATTAAGATATCAATACACACTGCTCGGAGTTTTTGTGCTTATATATACATATATGTGTGTGTATTGTGGAAGATTGTTGTCCATTTGTTTAAGATCCTGTAACATGTTCATGAATAACGGCGTCACCAATAGTTGCTCAACAATATCCAAGTTGATTTTGTACCAACGTGCGTTATTACATACGTTGTATAACAGAAGTTCGAAGAATTATGACTAAAATAGTTTTCTTTATTGACACAAATTGTTCTGAGTATGTATGTTAATCTATTACTAATATACCATACTAGCTAATGTAACGCACTTCTTGAGGCAATTTAGGAGTACCACAAAGTGGTACGCTTTTCGCTGTCACAGTTTGAATTTATAATATTCCGAGATAACTAACAGAGGGATCTACATATGCTTTTTTATTGATGCGTCTGCTCACAAACCCCAGCAAAGTACGCCGGCTTACTCGTTTACTTAATAAGAATTTACCAACAAATGATCGAACGCAATTGCACCTTCATACCGTCTACGTACTGTTAAGAAATAAAATTAGAAAGAAGTACAATTAGACTTAAATGGTATTGTACGTCGGATTTATGAGAAGAAGATACGTTAAGCGCGCTTATGCTAAGCTACACTCTTTTCCACAGTTATGAAAACATTGTCGTTAAATATCTTTCCCGTTTATTTGGCACATATTTAACAAGACTTAGTAACCTGTGCTGAATGTCTGCCGGTTTTCTTCGGGTGTCTACCCTCAAGAAAGCGCACCTGTGCTACGTCAACATTAAGCAGCAAATAGTTCGCTTTGTCGCTGACAGGATTACCTGTTATAATTCCCAGATTTGTTGACTCTGCTCCGACGGCGATTGTCATTGATGCTGCCGATCGATCGTGTAGGCTGATACTGGTCTACAGCGCACCTCAATGTGTCACGCTGTCAGCAGTGGCACGCGTAATGCCAGCAATGTTCAATTAGTATAGTTGTGATAGTTCATGGCTATCTTCTACGCTATTCCGTATTAATATACCATATATTCTCTCCATGCGTTTTTTTGATTTATCAGTATTTAC